ATATAATGTTTTATGTGTTATTGGACCGAAAATAATTGACCTCTTATCCAAGATATTGGTAAAGGTTAGAGTATTTTTTTTAGATAAAATGGTATCCTAAATCGAAGCTCAGACTAATCCCAGAAATAGGAACAAGCCATGTGATTGGAATTATATTCACCTTCCCAAATTAAAAGATTAGAGTTTGTTATGGTAAAATCTTAATCCGTATAAAAAGATGGTTTCTCTTTGAATTGAGTTTAATAATATTGCAATAGGCTCATTTGTAAGTTAAGATGAGAAATATTACAAAGCTAAATCACAAAAATATAGTTAGACCAAAGTATGTTGAATTTTTGGATTATAAAAAAAATTGAATGATATATATCATTATAGAATTTATACCTTTGTTTAATGGATAGGAAACTGCATAATTCTCTTCTTGAATCTCTCGTTAATTTTGGTTAGCTTTTAATGTTAGGTAATTTTAGGTTTTTTAAAATTCAAATATAAGTAAGATCCATTTTTTTAATATTTTATGCATAGAAAATTAAAAGATCTTGTATTTTGTGTATGTGCCGAATTTAAAGGCTTAAGAACTTAAAAATCTATATATTACAAATATTATTAACAATATTAGCAATTGACTCGTGACGGAAGGTCATACGTAGGATCTTCTGTTTCATTAGAAATTGGATCATTATATGATGATGCCTTGATTAATATAACATTCTTACATTATTGATTCTAATTTTTTAGTATATGTTTAAATTACATGAAAATCTGTCAAGTTGGGCTAAAGCAAACAGCATTAAGTCAGGCCTTACTTTTTTTTTTAAAAAAAATATATGTATAAAATTTATTCAAATAAAAAATATCTAGCAAACAAAGAAAATACATTGTCGTAAAACCATGCTTTCAGGCGATATTCTTTTCTCACAAACGATGTATATTATTATTGATGAGATATTAAAACAAATTTATATTATACAAATTTTTAAAAATTTTGAGTTGAATTCAAGTATTATGATATTATTTTTAAATATCTGTAACTAATTTTTTTTTAAAAAAATTAATGAAAATATATCACTTTTACATAATAATAGCTTCAAGTGACGATTACGTGGCGTGCGTTTATACTCAGCATCCAATATTGTCAGACGTCGGAACCATGTCATAATCGTACGGTCCAAGTGAAGACGTGTCCCATTTCTTCACATCTTTGGTCGGCCTATGCATGATGACATGTACATCATACATAGGTGCAAAACACAAATCATGCATACATATACATATACATAATACATATATATATATATATATATATATATATATATATATATATATCTCATGATTTCGTTGAGACGATCATGTGCACAAAACGCTAGAGTTCCATTTGAAACTTGATACATCAATGGGATGCCTATCCGGAAAGACACAATAATGGATGATCAAAATTATATATACACTCGAGTTATCAAAAAATAATTGTAGAACATATTTAATTATTTAATAGAAATATTTTTACAGTTTAAAATTTCATAGATACCAATCATATACATTAATTTTACTTAACTATAATAGTTTAGTTTAATTTAATCATGAATATCTGTAATATTTACTTTAATAATTTCCTCTTCATCAATATATATATAGACAATATAATATAAATCTAATTTATGTATTAAATTTTAAAATATTTAATAAATATAATTTACACTTCAATAAAACAAAATCAATGACAGAAGACTTGAACAGAGCAGAGGTTCAATCTAGTAAGAAACTGTGTTCTTAACAAGGAGCCTCCAAATATAGTCTATATATACACACACACATGTACATGTATATACATATGTTAATGTATATAATATACGATAAGCTTTTAAAATATAAATCAATTGGATCCGTGAGAGGTGGTAGTTCTCCATTAGTCCCCACTTCAATCATTCATTTAAAAAAATATTGTTTTCCAAAAAAATTGTTTTTATTTTCTTCAAAATAAAATAAAACATATTTTGAAGTGATTGGGCATCTTATGGTAAATCTCCACATCTTGATCCACTTGACGAGGAATCTCCATCTTTCATTGGCGTTACATACAGATAATACACATATACATACGCATCTATATGTATGACTGTATGTATATATAGATACACATGTTAAAAGTGAAACAATGTTAAAGTTGAGTCGACACACGGGACCTCTTGCTTTGCTTTCTCTCATCATAGCATTTAGGTTCACGGAATAATAATAATCATTATATTTGTTTTGTTAAAGTATTGCCAAATTGGTGTAATTATGTGGTGACATTTCAATTTAAAATACTTTTATAACCGACGAAAAAAAAAGTGTCATAATAATTAATTGACGGAATCTTCTTATTGAAACCAAGTAATTAATTGTACCGATTCTAGTTGGTTATAAAAATATTAGGTCTACCCAATTATTATTTAAAACCTTAGTCCAGTCAGAATTTATTTTTTGTTAAATAATATGTTTTTCAGAACAAATCATTTTCCTTAAAAAAATTATTTAAAAATTTTATTTAAATTTAGATAGAATAATTTGATTTTAAAAAACATATCCAATATATAATTATAAATTATTTTTAGTTTTCATAATTAATATTTACAACAAAGATTAAACTAATATTTTTACTATAATAATGTCAAGAGAACAAATTTTGATTCCCTACAAACTAAGGTGGAGAAACACTTGTTATTTGCCTTATCTTCCTTTTTTTTTTTTGTAATCACATCACTAAAAATAAATAGAAAGTAATATATGTATATATATATGTGTATATATCGTAATAGTACATATGATGTCCTTGCGTTGTACTTTATACCGTCCCTGCATTCACGGCCACGTGGTTAAAAGCTACACCTCCAATTATCTTAGGGTTTTTTTTTTTGTGTGGCCATCTTATCTCTTATATTTTCCTTCAAAGTTCAAACAATTATTTTCTTCATAAATACAATTAATTTTTGCGATTAGTGGTGTAATTTCAGTGACTGGCAAGAATATTTGGTGGGATCTGAATTTAGCTCTTCTGTTATTTTCAGATTAAAAATTTATAAACTAAATTAAAACAAAGAAGAAACAAATAATTTTAGTGATGGAATCATTGTTTTTAAAATCTTATATCTATAATATAAATGTCATATTACATTAGAAATTTAACTTTTTTATTATAAAAATTTGAATACTTAATATTCAAGTAAAAAAATATTGTTTTTTATTGTTTGAGAAAATAAGTTTATATCATAGAAATATAATATAAAACAATATACCAAAAATAATTAAAATTTTAAAATACTAAATAAATTAATCACTTTTTTTTTGTATGAAGGTGATTTATATTAATAACAAAAACAAAAAGAATTACAACCCAGTTTATGCTAGTGTACCAAAGATTTGGAACCCATGTAAAATTGGTAATATTTTTCCAAAATTACATCCGCAACTAAATTAGTTTCTAATTTCTCGTGTCAAATAATACCAAATTACAAGTAATGATTCTCTATCATGTGGAGGTTTCTTTTTTATAGATAGCAAAATATTCTGAATGGTTCGGTCGATCTTCCACTGTATGTGCTCGACCGTTCTTCGCCTACTCCGAAAAATCCGGTGGTTTCTTTCCTTCCAAAGTTGGTACACCGAATTAATCACAAATTTGACAGTTTCAATGTATAATTTGCCCTAACAGAGAACGGGGTTCAAAACATCTGCCTAATAATGATAGTTTTGAGAAATTGGCTAATAATAATTTTGAGAAATGTAGGCAGAACACGTAACATATTTGGGTGGGGCGCAAACAGGTACACCACCTAATCGTGTTTCACCTCTAGGATTACAATGGAGACAATTAATAATATTGGATTGGACCATATTTCTATATGTGTCTAGCTGGTTATAAAACTAGTTTTCATTATTTTATATAAAATTAAATAAAAATTATTTTACTTTAAGATATTTACTATATGATTGTGGAAAAAACGTATTTATATTTATAAATATCCGAAAATCATATATACATATTAATGAACGAAATATAATCCTTTAAAAAGTGTGATCAAGCAAACCCTAGCATCGATTAGACTGTAAAAAGAACAAATGATGAAGTAGTATTCAAAGAAAAACAAGAAACATAACGTGCTCGAGTGGGTAAACGTTCCCATTTATCAATATTGAATTCTCAATATTATTTATTTTCTCATATAAAGTTGATTGGATATCTTCTCCGCTAGATGTCTTACCGTGAATACATTGAAAAAATTGTTAATGTATATTGAAAAAAATTAAAAGTATAAATACGAATACATTTTCTAATTTTAATTTTAATTTAATTTGATTTTATGCTTTTTATTTAAAAAATTATTTATTTTTATATTGTTTTTGTATTTATTAAATTTTATCAATTCAATTTGATATATATATATATATATACAGATTTTATATTCAATATAACATGAATACAATAATATCTTATTTAATTTGGATCTAGGAATTTTTAATATGGCACCAAAAAATATGTGTTATTAATAGTAATGTTGTGAATCCTAGTAAGTGAAATATTAATGGAGTAAAAAACAAAAGGGAAACTATGTTATCTAGGTGGTAATTTGTATTTTTTTTTTATTCGTTTTATTAAGTTAATTTTCGATTTTAGAAAAAAAAATACAAATCATTCATTCGTTATTTATATTAGATTTGGTTTGATTACAATTATGTGTGACGATTTTAGATAGATTTTATTATTCGGTTATTAGCTAAATTGGAACGAGAGAGAGTAAAATATTAATGTAGAAATATTTATTACAGAAAAGGGTGGAAGTTACCGTTTATGAAATATAATTTAAAGTTTGATACATAAAAATTCAATAATTATACAAAAAAAAAACCGTAACGAAAACCCACGGAATCTCCATAGAACCTGATAGCATCAAACCGAATATTCCTATTTTTTTTATTTCTCTATTTCCCATAAGCTTCCTCTCTCTATAAATCCCCACCCCCAACGGGCTATCTAACTCCTAAACACAACAAAAAAAACCATCACAGAAGAAAAAAAAAAAGTTATGACTTGCAGCCAAACACTCCACAACAACCTCAACAAGTACCAAATCTGCGAAGAAATCGGTCGGGGTCGGTTCGGCACCGTCACGCGCGTGTACGCGCCGTCGACCGGAGATCTCTTCGCCTGCAAGACGATCGACAAGGCTTCTCTCGCCGACGACGCGCTTGACCGCGCGTGCATCGACAACGAGCCCAAGCTCATGGCTCTGTTGTCTCCACACCCAAACATCGTCCAAATCCATGACCTAATCGACACAGTCGATTCCGTCTCCATCGTCATGGAGCTCGTGGATCCGGCGGTCACGATCTACGACCGCTTGGTCTCCTCCGGTCCCTTCTCTGAGGCCCAAACGGCGTCGTACGCGAGGCAGATCCTCTCCGCCGTGTCGCATTGTCACCGAGTCGGTGTTGTTCATAGGGATATCAAGCCGGAGAATATTCTGGTGGATCTGAGAAACGACATGGTGAAGATCTGCGATTTTGGGTCTGGGATTTGGTTGGGTGAGGGCGAGACCACCGTAGGCGTCGTGGGTACGCCGTATTACGTGGCTCCGGAGGTTCTGACGGGGAGGCCGTACGCCGATAAAGTCGATGTCTGGAGCGTCGGCGTCGTTCTTTACACTATGCTCGCCGGAGCTCCTCCGTTCTACGGTGAAACGGCGGAGGAGATATTCGAAGCTGTGATCCGCGGGAATCTTCGGTTTCCTCCGAAGATTTTCCGGGGGATTTCGTCTTCTGCGAAAGATTTATTGAGGAAGATGATCTGCAGGGATGTTTCTAGAAGATTTTCAGCTGAACAGGCACTAAGTAAGTCTCTCCACTGTTTCTCCCTTCTGTTTTTCTCTGCTTTATCATCTGGGCTGTTCATAAATTCTCTCTTCTTGGGTTTGAACGAATTTTTCTCTTATGGGTTTCACTAATTGGCCGTTAATTTTCAATGGTTTTTCAATTTTACAATGAAATCTGGTTTATAAAGGACCCAGATCTATACTTGTCAAGTACTTTTTCTTGGTGAGATTCTTCAGGTACTTGTACCCATCTGGATCCGTGTTTGATCCATTTCTTCAAAAACCCTTAAAAAAGAAACTGATTGATTGGAATCAAACCCCAAATATGTGTCTCTGCATTCATTGAAAATTTCTGCCCTTTGGAGCCGAAAAGTCAAAACCCAGTAGCACCCATGTGAGCTCTGCATTGTTTACATACTTTTGTGGGTTTCTGATATATTATTTTTTGTGGGTTTTGTTTTTTTCAGGGCATCCATGGATTGTAAATGCAGGTGAAACTGATGCCAGCTTCATCTGATCTTTTTAGCAGACAGACATAAATAAAATAAACAAGCCCTCGTATCGATAACCGGAGTCGATAATCATATGGAATGCCTCTGCATATGTAAATTAGCTTATCGGCAACAAGAGAGGAGCTGATGGAGATGCTTGCTGAAGATGAGGAAGACGAAGACTTTTGTGGGAGAATCGCGGCGTCTTTCTTCTGAATTCTCTCCAAGAAGGGTGTAGATTTTGATTTTGTTTAGGGTTTCTTTTTGGGCTGTCTCGTGGTTTTGGGGGTGAGGGTGTATATAAGGTTTAGGTAGACCGTAGAGCAGAGGATTCCGGTCCTGCCCCGCCTTTTACGGGTTTTTTTTTTTTGTTTTGCTCGTTTCTTGGGTGAGTAAAAGAAAGAGAGAGAAAGCAATGTTAATAAGTAATAATAATGTCTTTTTTTTTTTTTTGTAAAAAAAGAAAATATCTCCTTATATTCATCGTATACGTACGGTCCAACTAATCTCTAACAAAAACAAAAGAACACGTTAATTTCATTATAAACTCCACTTCCGGTCATGCCCCTAATTTCATGCTTCCCCTTTCTAATTAAGCACGTTAATTTCCTAATTAATTTTTGGTTCATCTAATCTTTAATATTAAAAAGAAACACCCATGTGACGATTCATGGAATCTCTTTCTGGGATTTATATTCAAGCGTCTTGACATTGACTTCACACATTTGTCTCTAGTTCAAGTCTTCTTATCGCATAGATGGTGACAATACAAAGTAAATGCGTTGCTACAAAATTAGTGGACCTCTCACAAAAAGTACAATTTGGGCTCCATGTTAAAATCAAAGCCAAAGATTAGGGGAAGATCAATTATTAGATATGAAACTAATTATTTTTTAAACCTATTGTATAAGTAGTACAATAAGCTGTTTTGCATATGATTCTTTTCATTTTAAATGGACAAGTTGACTGTTTAATAAACGCATTTACTGCATGTACCATCATGAAGAAGAAAGAAAATAGAAGTTTATTAGAGCCTTTTCTTTAACTTGGATATATAAAAAAACAAAACAGCATCATATTATCCAAACCAAATGAACGAAATTATTTTTTTAAGAATGAATATCTTTAAACAAAAAATGATTTCAAATTATATTCAATATAATCACAATAAAAATGAATTTTAATATAAAACTAAAAAAAATATAAATTTAAACAATAAACAATAAATATAAAATTGGTCGAATAAAAATAAAACTAAAATTTGAAACAACTCTTGCTCTACTTCTAGAAATAATAACGCCTCGATTTTTCAGAAAAATTCGTTGCGCGTTTTCAAAATAATTTGACTTTTTTTTTTTCTTTTTTGATAATTCAAGTTTCTTCTTTCGTTTCCATGCACATTTTCCAAAAGAAAAGTTTGAGTCAAATTTAGAAAATACCGGAATCTTCGATAACCTCAAGAAAAACATGGATTTATTTCATTTAATTAATTATATATATATATATATATAGGAGACTATGGGAGCATATTATAGCATATTCTTTCATGGAATTGTTTGAGGGAGGATTCCAGCCTCGATATGATATTTCATTTTATAGCATATGCTTTTGGATCATACCAATATTTTGTAACTTTTTCTTGCAAGGAAGATGTCAGAATAATCATAAAGAATCTTTGAAAACTAGATCATGAGTTGTCAAATCTTAATTTGATATTCAACAAAAAAAATCTTAATTTGATTTTAAAAAAACAAGAAATCTTCTAAATTAGAAGAGAAATCGCTTGAATTTTACTGTTTTGTTACTTTAAAATTTAACTTAGGCAGAGTTTGATATTTTTTTATGGATTCAAATCAGCTAAAAGAAAAGGTATCATTTACATTTAAAAAATATGGATAATAATATATAAATACCTAAACTTTTATAAAAATCTCATATTTATATATAAACTATAAAATTTTCATATAAATACCTGAAATTTTAAAACTTCTATATATAAATATCTAGATTTTTAAAAATTATTTCAAATAAATATAGATTTCAGTTTTTTTTCAAATAAAAATTAGCGATATGATTAATGAATTTTGGATTTATTTAAGAGTTTTTCAAAAGTCTAGGTATTTATATAGTATTAGAAAAATCAGATATTTATATAAAAATTTTATAGTTTAGGTATTTATTTGGGATTTTTGTAAAAATTTAGGTATTTATATATAATTTTTTCTAAAAAATAATATAGTTATATTTTATTACATTGATTTATTTGTATACTAATTGTTTTTTTGTTTGGATTTTTGTAATTGATAAAAACAAGATATAAAAGACCAAAATTACTAGTCAATTGGATAAGCAAAAATTCAAAAAGTATAACTAGGGCCCACCTATTCACTATCATTCTTTTTATATAACTAAAATATGTATTTCGCATGATTTTGTTTTTCAAAACAAACAAATAATTCCTGAAATTTACAGATTTTAAATAAACCATGTCTCTTTCTAGAAAACTATTTTTTTTTATAAACGATTATTATTTATTTGTAATGGTATAAACGCATTAAGTAATGTAGAGACATATATGCTTAGAATTTTATTTTTCTTTTATTATGTCAATAAAATATGCATTAGTGCTCTACTAATTATATATTATCTAATTCCAAATCTCAAAGACATATTTTTATTATATTATAAGTGGACAGTGTTCACTGTTCAGCCTGAATCCCCACTAACTTATTTTTTTTTTAGATTCCAAAGCAGCCACATCATTTTAATTAAACTTTATTTTTTGGTAAAGTTAATTAAATTATATTTGATAATCATTCCTTAATTAATGGTAAAGCGATATGGAATCTTATGTCTGCTCCCAACAACTATTTTTTTTTTTAATTCGGAATGAAAAACAAATCAAGAATATCTAGAAAAAAAAACAAATATTTTAGTTTTTTTTGTTAACATCAATCCATATGGATTATTGATTATCGATTTATACCTTTAAGATAGGGAGTCGATGGGTCCTATGCTTTTGATAATTGTTAGGGCGACTTGATTGCAAATCAGGTGTTTCTATAAAATATGCAAATATGATGTAAATATTAGGGATTAATTTTGATCTAGTTATGTTGGGAACTTGGGATTGAATTTTTATTTTTATTTTTGATAAGATGTTAGATCCATACCTATATCTACTTTTATTTTATTTTTTTTTAAATTTGATTGGAATTTTATGTAAAATTGAGAGCCACCCCTCGATTCCAGCTAAAGGCATTATATATTTAACCTGATCATAAATTCTGCCCGTTATTTATTTATAAAATCGTTATATCCATCAGATTTTTTTTTTTTTTGATAATTTTTTTTTATAATCCGAAAGTTCACCGAACTTTTGGTCTGATTACATCTCCCGCCGAAGAAGCCCACACTTGGGTTTGAACCTAGATTGAGACCATACTTTGTATGTTTTCTCACCACCACTAGACCACCCAAAATTGGATTTTAATATCATCACGAATACACTTTTAGAAATCCAATCTCTCTTTTATAATAAAAAAAATCCGAATTTATCGCAAAAGAATTACGGAGAAATATGAGAGGGAACACAAGTTTCGTCAAATGTTGAGTAATGGTTGTTAGTCAAAGATAAAATCTTATACACACGTGTGGGACCCGCAAAGACGTGGTGATCTGTGCACTGGCAGATCAACGTAAATTTGAAGAGTCAGTGGTCCGTACAGAGGAGCTAGACGTGGTGGTTGATAAGCAGCCACTTCGTATATAATATAATTAAATAAAAATGTCATTTTCCATGTCAGCTGTATGATAAATGTCTTGTAACGCTTGTATCATAACTACCACATGGTATCTAACGTACCCGCAAAGGAAAATGCTTGGAAAATACCGTTGATATATTTTTTTTATTTGAAGGCAAAAAAAAAAAAGGACAGGGAGATTTGGACAAAAAGAAAAAAAAAAAAGGAATGAAGACGATAGGTCATAAGGTTGGGACCAAAAAAGAACAGAAGAAATATATTTTTTTAAAAAAAAATTTAATTCCTATGAGAGAGTATTTGTGTGTTTTTAAGGGACAAAACACTTAGAATTTGATTGTAATTGTTTTTTTTCCAAGATCATTTAAAATTTGGTTTGGTGATCTTTATACGAAATCTTTGAGCGTGGATCAATTTCAACATCATTTGATCAAAGATAAGAATAATATCATTTGCCTATTTTTTCATTTCTTGGATGAAATATTGAAAATCAACTCTCCGCAATAATAATATGAACAAACATTTTAAATCAAATTAGGCATCTGTTATTTTATTTTGGCACAACTAGAAATACAAATAATTAAATTCATGCATAATGTCTCGAGATCAAACACGTCGACATAGCCTCTAAACCCCCAATTTTCCTAGTAGAATTCTAGTAATTATCTGAGTTTAGATCTAGAAACCTCTTCAAATTATTCTCTGCACTTCATATATATATATATATATATATGATATATGATCTTCGTGTATATATATATATCACATATCATATATATATATACACACACGCACGTATATAAAGTTTCTTTGTCGGGAAAGCACATGTGGGTTTCGTATCCACATTTTGTGTTGGATTCGGACAAAAGCGAAAATTTGGGAATTTAGTAGAAATAAATATTCATTTGGAATTTATTTTTAGGTTTCGTTACGGTGCTTTGGACCCTTCAAGAGGTGGAATGGCTACTCCCTCCCATTCGCCGCATCACCTCCTCTCACCCTTCCCTTGCTCCTTTGAGCCATTCCTTCCTTTTTCTTTTCTGCCAAGCAATTTAAAAAAAAAATAATTTATTGTATTTTGATTGATAGATAGATTCCGGACTGCATATTTTTATTTCATTATTATTTTTTCAATACTATTCGCAGAATATATATATACATATATGTTATGTTTAAGCATATTCGTACCGATGCTTATCTTCATATATTTTTTTCGAGTTATCATTTTTTTTTATCATGTGGGGCATAATAAAGTATTTATTACTTTTTTTATTACAGAATTCTTTTCGTCTAGACTCACCTTCGATTGGGTGTGATGCATATGCACTATTCGTAGGTTCGGGCACAATTTCAGGTTTTTCCAATTCATGGATACCGACAAAATTATAAATAATTTTTTATTTATATTTACGATTTTAATTTAATAAATACAGTTATATATAAAAAAATAAAATAAAATGTTCAATTCGGATCCGAGTATCTTGCTTCTTAGTTGATGTATTTGCATGTACCCAATATTATTGGGCCGTAATAGTTGATCCATCTCTAATATTACGGGTTAAAACTAAAAAAACCCATCATCCTATTATTACAATTTGTAATAACCACGACTGTTATTAACAAATTCAAGTTTGTGTTCCAAAACGAAAAAGAAGGATAAAAAGTGAAAAACTTACGTAAATATATAACCAAATTCCATCGTAAAATTGAAAAGTCTTTCAGTGCAATGGAAAAAAAAAACTACTTACCAACATATTTGGCCCCAAACAAAAAAAGTTTTAAGAGAAAAAAAAAATGAAGACTAGGGGAGAACAAAAGGCATACTTACCAGGTGTACATGCCTGAAGAACGAGGGAGTAAAACGGCGTCGTGTTTCTACCAACTGTATTTCCCTGCAGCTACTGGACTTTTTCACACGTGTTTTTTTAAAGTGTACAGAGGAAGAAGACGAGCAAGAAGAACACTTGTTATATCCAAAAACAAGAAGAAGAAAATTTTCCCAATGGCTCTCTCTCCCGTTTCTAAGTTTTCTTAATACAGACATGAGACATACACATGTAAAGATTATCTGTCACACACAATGAAGGAAAGGAGCCTCAGCTTAGCTCAAGTCTTCAATGGCGGTTTTGGGTCGACGAATCTCTCTCGAATTTCATCCTTTTAACCCTAGGAACGGCTGCAAAAGAAAACGAGAATCCATCGATTAGATTAATCGCATGATTTATCGATAAAAGTCTCGAGCAAGTGTTAACAGAAGAGAGAAGGAAAGGGTCGTCAATCAATTGTGAATTAAGTTATCAGGGTAAAAAAACTGATGCAAATGGTACAATCCCAAGAGGAAAAACCCGATACTTGGCCCGGGTTTAGATCGAAAAAACGAGTGTTAACGGTCAGAGTAAGATCTATGAAAATCAACCCAAGTCCATAGACATAATAATATGGCGAAAAGAAACACGACCCAGACCACAAAGAGAGGATAAGGAAATGAAGAGTGAAAACACTATGTTGAGAACAAGATGAGGGTTTTATTCTACTCAACGCTCGGATCAGACCCACGTAGAAAAGACCCAATTTTTTGCTGTTTAAACGGCGGTTTTCATTGATAAATGAATCGAAATCCAATAACCTCGAGTAAAACGAACCGTTCTTCGTCATATGTACCTCGTCTAAAATGAACAGATAATGCACGATATTATAGTAGCAATTTTTACGTAAACTAATACAGATGATGATGGAAAGCAGTATCGTTCTACTAACCTTGATCCCGGCAGGTGAACCACCAGGCTTTACAGTGGCTGTGCTTCCAAACACATTGCTAAGACCGGTAGAAGGGCTACCGGCTTTGGTGGTTGTAGCCGTGCTGCTCCCAAACCCGAACTTGGGTTTCTTATCCGCAGGCTTTAAGATTTGAAACGAGCACATAAGAGTGTCATCTACGCTCATCATAGCGCCTGCATTGTCAAACTCTCCGCAGTAGTTAGGCGCCGAGAATATTGTCACCAGTTGTCGGTTTGCAAAGAACTCATACCCATCCTCTACGACCTGAAACCGTACATATCGAAATGAAACAATAAAAAAAATATGACAGCAGATTCCAAAAATATGTGCACTGATTAAGAGACAAATCCTCCATAAACGGGTTTGTGAATTTAAAGTGACGTTTTCTGATCAATGAGTCACATGCAGTCGGATTAAGGTAAGATTGTTGTATTAAAACAAACAAACGGAAGACACTCATACATAGTTTGCTAGAATATGAAACACAACTACACAGTTTTAAACAGACTAATTTTTCGTCCACCAACAGAACGTATTAATCATGTCACACCGAGGTTAATTTGACACAGAACCAACAGACTAGACGACAATACTAACAGGGTTGGTCAAAGTCATCAATTTACGCCCAAATTTACCGGACAGATTAGGATCGAATCTAGGCATCAGGTCAAACATCAACATTGTACAGATTTAGCAAAGAAACAGAAATGAGACAGAAGATTTGATGGTTTAGACCTGATGGGCACGGCAGATGAGATCCAAGTCATGCTTCTCCAGAAATTCGGTGACCTTATCAGCTCCAAAAGTGTAGGAAACGCCCCTATCATTCATTCCCCAACCTTGGATATCTTTACTGGGATCAGACCAGAGAAGATCACATAGCAAACCTGTGTCTGGAACATCGGTTGGGCGCTGCATGTTTCTAATCTGGTCCAAATTCTGAAGGTCAGGTGAGAGACCACCATGCATACAGAGAATCTTTTCATCGATAAGGGCTGCCACTGGTAAGCAGTTGAAACAGTCTGTGAATACCTTCCATAGCCTGACGTTAAACCTTCTCTTGCACTCGTCATAAAACCCGTATATACGATTTATGGAAGCACATTCGTGGTTTCCACGTAAAAGGAAGAAATTCTCAGGGTATTTTATTTTGTAAGCAAGGAGAAGACAGATCGTTTCAAGACTTTGCTTGCCTCGGTCAACATAGTCCCCCAAGAACAAGTAATTGGCACGAGGTGGTAAGTCACCGTATTCAAATAGCCTCAGCAGATCCGAATACTGGCCATGAATATCTCCTGAATTATATAAAAGATTGTGGTGACTACAACATTGATTTTAAAATAATTTCTACAGTGCAAAGTATCAAAAATAGGATGTGAAGAAAAAAGTATCGGAAACAGGAAGATAACGAGCGGCTACTTAGTCCATATCTACTGCTTTGCATGAACAAGAACTACTATTCTTTCTCAAATACATGTTCCTAATTAAGTTATGGGTCCACAATCAAATGTCTGAAATCACATGCCATTAGCAATGATCTACCAGTAAAGTCACCATCATGATTGAAATGATAACAACCTAGAAAGTAGTACTTCAGTGAAAAAGCAGTTGAACAATTCAGAAAACCACCAAGTCTTCAAAAGGAAAAAAAATTCCAGATAGCCAAAAAAAAAGACCAAACATATGAAAGCTGCTCCAATGAAACAGAGATGTTAAATTCAAATGAGATCTATCTAGAGAATGCATATCTCTGTCTGAACGCTACCGATAATTCCTCATGAACACATCATACTGGGTACCTAAACATGCTATCAGCAATTTCTAGTTCTAAACCTCGAGATCGATCAATCTATGAAGGACGATACAACTTTCTCAATGTTTGACAACCTCCAAATATATCTCCATATTACTTACAGCTACTCTCACGGAATCGTAAGATAAAGTCTTCAGCAAATGAAGCTAGTGAATTTACAAGCAGAAGTTCTAATATTTGGTAGTCAAAATTTCAAGAACCAGAAACTTGGACTCATAAATTTAGACAAATTTGACAAGCTTCGTTTAAACCCTACTGATATCAGTGAAATTCAAAGCTTGGAGTCACCCATTTTACGTCTAAACAACAAAAACGGAATGAAATTGCAATACAATCAAACAAGTACTATGCATAAAATAATCTACTAATGAAACAAAATCCAAATGCCCTAAAAATCTCAGAAAAAGAATAAGAATAGCCACCCAAATTCATCAAATTGATGCGGAAACCAAACCCTAGTTTGATTCTAAAGATCAAAAGTACAGAGAAACAGGCAGATATTCGAACAAAATTTAGGATCAAGAATTGGATAATCGACCACGAAAATCAATTACTCCAGAGCTACTGTACGCTAAACAGGTTAGGACCCATAACATTAGCCGCAAATCATCCATCGCGGAGAAGCTCTCGAACCAAATTCAAAACGAGAAACTACTCCTGCGAAATCAGAGATGGGCATGACGCGAAATTACCACAAATCTTGATGGGGGCTTCGAGCTCCAACAAATTGGGCTGCTGCAAGAAGATTTCTTTGGAGTGAGTACAGAGCTGACGGATCTCCGATTCCGACAGCTGAACTTGCTTGCCGGGTCGGCCTCGGACCTCCAGAAGCCGATTGATGATGTCATCGAGAAGGGCTTGGTCCATTTCTGTCTCTGATAACCGTTGAAAAGAGGAAGACGATGAAGAAACAGAAAGACAGAGAGGGAGTCGAAGTCAACGGGGATCGGGGGAAGGAGAATCGAATAGAGACGATGGATGGTAAGGAGAGCGAGAGGTAAACATGGAGGAGAACACACGAGGAGGATGACGATGAATGATGAATGATGATGATGATTTCGTTTCGTTGAGAGAGAATCTCAGAAGCGTATTGGAATATAGATAGAGAGTGGAAAATTCTTGAGAGAGAGAGAAGAGAGAGAGAGGTGGAGTTTACAAAGAGACGATCTAATAATGTTTTTTTCTCAAATTAACTAATTTTCTCCGATAATCAAATCTATTTAAAAGGGATTTTTGTATTGCATATTTTGCATGTTGCCTCATGAGATAGAATCCAATATCATGTGATTATATCTTTTGAGATGTTGATACAAAAATTTCAAAATATTGGAATAAAAATGTATTTATTTTTCTTCCAAAAAAGTTATGAAAGCAAAAATATATTAGCAAATAATACATATTTTTTAATTCCTTTGATTTCTCTTAATCTCTAATATAAAAAACGGAATGCATTATGTAAACATATGACAAAGAAAATGCATTATCTTAGTGATAATATGGATTGATTTAAATTATATATACATGAATATATTTTTGTATTATCTATGGAAATATTTAAAGTTCTCTTGAGGTCTTAAATTTTTTACATAAAAATAATTTTTTTAGTTTTTTGGTTATCTTTTCATTAGTTTATTTTTTATTATTTACACTCGAATCAATCTTAATCTTTCATAATATTTATAATTGAATTATTTCGATATTAGTTTATTTTTGTCAAACTATAAATATATGAAATATAAATAGGTCATATAGTTTCATTGAAAATATAATTTATATAAAAAGGAATAAATAATATTTTAATATTCGTATTATGTTTTAAAGAAATATTTTAAATATGATTGTTTTCATATAAATCATTATTTAACTCATACTTTGTAGTACATGTTTAAGTATTTAAATTTATTACCGACATAGGGCCCGGCCCATGTACACATCTTTTTCTTTGTATAGTTCGCTCAATATACTTTGAAGTATCCATTGTTACCAAAAAAAAAATTAAATTCAAAAATTTCTAAATCGGACGACGACCGCACCAGATCTGAAGCGGGGTCGTTTTGAGGTCACCCAATCAGTTTCTTCTTCATTGCTTTTGCTCCCTCGCTCCCTCCCTCCCCGAGCTCTGGTGGTAGAAAATGAGATCTCACCATGGTGGACGAAGACCGACGCTTCTACGTCTCGTCTGCGCCGTCGCGGTTTTCTCCGTATTCGTCTTCGTCATCCAGTCCTCCTTCTTCGCAGGTCATCATCCATCCATGACGTTCGATTCCATTACCTTTTTCGTTTTTTTTCCTAAAGTTCCGAAATTCCACCCGATGTTCAATTGTTGGAATCTCGATTTGATGACTCATAAGGTGGTTTATTCGCAGGCAATGTCAGGAAACTGAGTGTTAACCCCGAAGATATCCAGATCTTGTCAGATTTTCAGACCAGCGTTCAACAGTGCGTGGTTTGTCTCCGTTCTTCCTCCATTTTTCACTCTCGTTGAATTTTGCTTTGGTACTTCAATATCTTAGGCGGGAACTGTTTACTCTCAATCGTCAATGGATATGTTATACACGTAGTTAACTATATTAGCTTGGTTCCGTGAGTTTTTAGTTCTCGTATTCTAATCTCGATTCTGAAAAGCTTGAATGTTTCAGAACATTACGAATGTGCTCACTGGAAAGTTCCACTCTCTGTGCTAATGAAACAAACTTGAGATTGGATCAATTTTATTTAGTGAGCTGGGACAGTGCAAGAGCCCTTTTCTTTCTTCGATTTGGAAAGAGTTCAAGATATTGGAAGCTGGTGGATATGGTCACCAGGAAATTCAACTGGTTCATGGGTGTAGGGTTTGTTATTGTTAGATGGGGATAGAATCCAATTTTCAATTTATGTGCATGTTTAAATGTTCGTGTTGGAGGAACGAAGTTATCGGGATCTGGTGAAAGAGCTTATTGATGAATTATTGTTAATTTATTGTATTGATGCAGGCAAACAGGGGGTTAGGTCTAACTGCACACGTTATTGATCACTGCAATTTGATACTTAAGTTCCCGGAAGGAACTAACAGCACTTGGGTATGCTAAGCTTTGCCGAGTTTCCTTATAGATGTGATTGTCTTTACCGTGAGGAAGTTCTTCAACCTCTATTGGATTTTTACTGCAGTACAATGCACAGTTCAAAATTTTTGAACCATTGGAGTACAAGTATAATGTTTGTGAGGCAGTTCTCTTGTGGGAGCAGGTTTGCCGCCTCTGTTCTGTATCTGATTGAGTTTTTCGTGTTTGATAACTTCAAGAATGCTGATGTTTCAAGTTATGCAGTACCGCAATATGACCACGGTGTTGACTAGAGAATACCTCGACTCACGTCCTGATGGATGGTTGGACTATGCAGCACAGAGAATCGCACAACTGTATGATCTTGAACATTGCATCTCATGTTTGGTTTGTTGCTGTATCTTTCTTGTTTAGTTCCTTTTTATCTTTCTGGTTTCAGGGGCTCGGATAAGTGCTACAACCGCACACTATGTGAGGAGCATCTTAATTTGCTCTTACCAGCAAACCCTCCTTTCCATCCACGCCAGTTTCGTAAATGTGCGGTTGTTGGAAACTCTGGAGATCTCTTGAAGACAGAGTTTGGAGAAGAGATTGATAGTCATGATGCTGTTTTTCGGGACAATGAAGCTCCTGTCAATGAGGTAAATTCTTAAATTTCATGGAACTTTAGCTATTCACTAGTGGATGGCTTTAAATCCCATCCCATTTTCTGTCATTGGCAATGCTTCAAGACCATCACTTTTTGGCAGAAATATGCCAAGTATGTGGGGCTGAAAAGAGATTTCCGGCTCGTTGTCCGTGGTGCCGCTCGTAACATGATTAAAATTCTCAATGGGTCTGGTCAGTACGACTCATTCTGCAGTGAATTGATCCGATGCTTTTGACTCATATTCCTTAAATCGTCCCTTGCAGTGTTTTCGCTTGTGGTTTTAATTTCTGGTTATTGTTATTTCCCCGCAGATGACGAGGTACTTATAATAAAAAGTGTCACCCACAGAGACTTCAATGCAATGATAAAGGTGAAATTACTATTTTCTGTTTATATGTGAAGGATCATGACTTGTTACTACTTTCAACTCATATTCTTGCGATTTCTTACAATTTCCCTGCGGTACCACTTGTTTATCTTGTCCATATTTTGTGACAGAGTATACCAAATCCTGTTTATCTTTTCCAAGGAATTGTACTGCGCCGAGGTGCCAAAGGAACCGGGATGAAATCCATAGAACTAGCATTATCCATGTGCGACATTGTTGACATATATGGTTTCACTGTTGATCCTGGATATACTGAGTGGCAAGTATTCGAAATCTTCTTTCTTTTCCATTGGTTACCCTCCCCTTTAGAACTAAAACTATAATTGGAGATTGCCTATCTTAAATGCGATTTTATCCGACGGACCTTCTTAAATGGATTTCCTATGGATGGACTGACTGGTTATATCTTTGTTTGTAATTTAGGACACGTTATTTCTCCACACCGCGGAAAGGGCATAACCCACTTCAAGGAAGAGCG